GGAAAGCACTTTTTTCTCAATTTTGTATCCCACCCATCTATGATAGACCTTCTCTTGAGCTTGAATGGTGTGAAACGTTTTTTTAGCATGATTATGATTATAATGGAAATCAGATGGAATAGTAACCTTTTGCTCATAATTAAAGTAAGCTTAAAACAAATCCATACAGAACAAATGGATTTTGATTTGCTAAAAAAAAACATGAATTTGTTTTTAGCTTACTTAAGTTATGAGCAAACGGTTACTACGAGCGGTTACTCGTATTCCATCTGATTTCCATTCACTTGAGCCTTTCTTCGCTAAGGCTGCATAAAAGATCGGCGTTCCCTTGTCTCGATGCATTATGATCAACCCAAAGCCATTGTCGTGGAATAATTTGGCGTTTCCGCTTCCTACGTTCGGGGCTATGAAGCAAGAGGAAAAAGAGCAAGCTCGAAATGAGCATCGCATTTCCTGTTCCGAGACACATGTGACCGTGATTATGCATATGCGTCTTTGTGAGACGGATAGGGCACGCTGAGGTGACTAATGTCAACAGTCAATGACGCCGCTCTGTGAGAGCGGAGACACACCTTTCATTCACGGTAGTAAAAGTGCCGTCCTTAATGGCGGCTCTGAGAGCGGCAGGTTTCCTCAGCCGGTTCGCTGAGATGGCGTGTGTGTGTCTCCGTGTATGTAAACCCATGGACCCATCCACTGACAGGAAGTGGCACAATGAGTGGGGCGTCTTCCATTGTGGGACAGCTGCGTCCGGCACAGAGTACAGGGTAAACACTGCTCACTGGCAGTTATAGCTGGATATTCCTGGGGAGTGCCGCCAATCGGTCAAATCCGACAACCAATAGCATACACTACATCCGACGAGCTCCTCCGGCTCACCAGATTTCTTCTGCTGGAAAGGAAAATGCATGCGAAATCCCCCCAAGGTGACCTGTTTGCTTAGATGTATTTTTTTTTTTTAAAAGGAGATCGCTAATTTATTTGAAATAAGCCATGGTGAAGAGGGGGGAGGGGTCGCTTTTGGCCACACTCGAGTTTTTTTTTCGTGTAAAGCGAAACTCAATATAATATAGCTTATGTTGCATACATTTCGTATAGTGTGTGAAATTTTTAACCCAAGGACAGGTGAGATCCGGTAACCAGATCAAGTTAGCGACCATACCTCTATGCTTCTTGTAATTCTGTCATTCCTACAGGTTATATCCTAGAGGTTTGGAATTCGGGGTATTGCACGAAAGAATCAGTACCAACAATATCTATCTATCTCGGAATTTTGATATTGGTGACCTAAGGTCAGGTCAATTTGCGAGCTATCCATTATAACTCAATGGGAGACAGTTCAACTGCTCTTTCTTGGACAAAAGTCATACTAAACACAGTCAAACATAAGGATATAGGTAAACATTACACACTGAATCAGAAAACTGCACACATGACCCCTCTTTATGTCACTGGGGTCATCTCAATTTATGAAAGGTCTCCAGCAGTTTTCTTTTACAATAACTTTTGCTAGAGACAAGCTACTGCTAGAGCGATGAAAACACCTTTGATGCGTTCAGCTCAACGATGCAAATCGACTGATATGCAGCATGACCTTTTCCGTGACCTTAAACTGTTGTCAACAGTCAACGCGTCTCAGCGAGAGAAACGCGATGCCGGTAAAAGCAACGTAATACTAGCTTGGTGTAAAAAGTATACCTGCGCCCCGCTGGATGAGGGTATTACCTCCCTTCCCTCCGGATTTCAACAACAACTGAAACATAAACGCTTCATGCCAGCTACGTCAAACTCTAGCTTTTAATGCATCAATGTGACGTCTTTCCTGAAATTTCCATGAGCAAAGTGACCAATAAAACGTGTTTCGCACATATCCTATTCAATAGTTCGTGTTTGATATGACCTGACCTTTGTTTGATATTTTTGTATTACATCTCGTCTTGATACCCTAAGAACGCGTTCTGGGTGAGAATCTTAGTCCTCTTTTCGCGAGCTGGGCTACAAAGCCAGTAATGTAGCAATTTTTACTTTTTTATCCTTGACCCAACCTTGACCTGGCCTGTGACCTACTCCGCGTCCTGATTTTTTTTCTCGCGAAAAGCTCATCTTTGAAACTTTCAGCAATTGATAAGAGCAACAATATGTACAAAATGCATATCTCGGAATTTCGGTATCGGTGATCCAAGGTTAGGTCAATTTTGCGACCTCTCCATTATAAGTGAATGTGAGAAAATTGAAGGGCGCCTCTTTTAGACGAACGTCGTTCTAAACATTTTCAAACTCCAAATTACGAGTAACAATGACACGCTGAACCGAAAAATGGCACTCGTGACCCCCCCCCCCCCCCGTAATGTTCCTGTCACTCCCTGAGGTCATCTCAGGTCGCGGATGTATCTAACAGTGATTCGCTAATAACTAAGCCGGTCCCGTAGCTCAGTTGGTTAGAGCGTTGGACTCCGCGTGGTGAGAGCACGTGTTCCCGGTTATGACAGTCCGGGTTCGAAGCGCGACAGGCGCTCGACATTTATGGGCCTCCTGACAGGTATGGTTGCGGTTGGTGGCAGGCCGTAGCCAGGCGAAGTCAGCGAAGGGACCGGCCGTGCGCGGCTTTGTGCGCACGTTAAACTTTGGACTCTAAATTCTGCCATAGAATCGGAATTGCGCGATCGGAGGGTAGAGGGCAGGGTCATCGCAACAAGCTTCGCTTAGCGGTGGCTCTGTCCTTGTGAATCCTTCCCATCAAAAGATTCGGACTAAATTTATATAAAAATTAAAAAAAAACTTCTGATAGAGGTAAGCAATTAAGTACCTATGCTAGAGCAATGAAAATGCCTTCGATGTCTTTGGCTCGCCAAATGGATCAATTGATATGCAACATGACCTTTTCCGGTCAGGTCATGACCTTGACCTGATTTTAAGCTTTCAAATTAACCCCCCCCCCTCTGGGGGGCCTATTCATAGCTCCCTTCCGTTTTTCTGCAATAACTTCTAAATCGCTGAACGTATCGACGCCAAACTTGGAGTACCTTCGGTGGCATCAATTTGACACCTTGTGTCAAAATATGAACTTCATATAAAGGTCGGCCAGAAATGACGTAAGAGTGACGTCATGTTCGGCCGATTTCGACGCAAAACATTGAACCACGGCAATCGCTCCCAAGAGCTCAGTTTTTATGCTAGATCCAATTTATTTGCATGCAGCGACTCAGAATAGACTGCGCCATCAAACTGCTATCTCGGATCTTCAAAATTTTGAATATTCTGAAAATCTTAGATATTCAAATTCTAAATTCATATTTTTATCTTTTTCAAAAAGTTTTGTCTTTTCGAAAAACCGAAATATATGTGATAGAACACATGCTTATGATTTACTCTAGCGAGAGGTAGCCAGATGTCTTCAAAAATGGCGAAGTTATACGCATTATAGCAAAAATTTCACAATTGTAAATTTTTCAAATCCATTTTTCAGTGTGCAATCGATATTGTACTCCAATATAAATAGCACCATCGTGTTCCTAAGCTCAAACTGCATCCGATAGACACATTTTTGTTGAAAATTTTAACTTTTAAATTTCATCTTTTTGACCTGAAAGTGGCCTGGCCTAAGCTAATTTCAACTCAAAATGACCTCGAATGACATAAACGACATCGACTTCGAAATCTATGTCCTAAATGGACCATAAAACATTTGTCACGTGACCGATGCATGATATAAGATTTCCGTGATATGTGATGACCTGACCCTAACCTGAAAATGAAAGTACAAGTTTGGTACCCTCAAGGTATCTAAAACATCGGTTCACGGGTGTGCAAACCAAAAATGAGTCTGACCTGACATGAAGGACGACGGCCAGAGCCCAAAATGTGAATGAACAATACAAGCATCGATAATTTTCATTTTGGCCTGACCTGTGACGTCATCGATGACCTCCAGGTCAATGAAATAAGGTTTCGTTCGACAGTTTTCCGGGGCTATCAGAAGCTGTTTGAATTTTGACGATCGGCCCAGTAGTTTTGGAGTTAGGACTGGGGCTATGAATAGCCCCCCCCCCCCCAGTAGGGCGCGTTATACACAGACCCTAGTGGGGTTGTATGTATGTATGTATGTATGTATTTATTTGAACGCCCACAGGTATGACACCCATTTACAGACGCAGTCCGATACTAAAACCTAGGGGTTCGGGTTAATATGATCTTTAAAGGTCAAATTATGGTTTATTCGACGAGTATCGACGAGAGGAGCACGTTGCTGGCTAAAGTAATGCCGTGACGCTCTTGAGTCAACAGTTATTGAGGAAAAACTTTTTTGTAGATGTGTTTTGCCCTCTGAAGACTAAACCGTTGACCTGAGTTCAACTCTGAGGGCACGCTCCAGAAAGAGGGTTAAAAGGACCATCGAATGCGCTTTTCCACGACACTGTAGAGTTCTCTGCCTCAATTGGTTCCCGAGTTCTGTGCCTCACTGCCAGTGTTTCGAAAAATGTTTAAATATGCAACATTTTACCGTTGATGACCTCTGGTGATCTGACATTTGACCCGACCTAAAAAATGACCTGAGTGTTCCGTCCTTATTTTGGACGTTCTTTTCAATGCCGGTTACCACGTATCGGTAGGTGACCCAGGAGTCAAGCTGGAGGGGGCCTCAAACACCCTCCCCCCCCCAGCAGGGCGTGGAAATCCAGGACCCCAGCGGGTCGTGGGTTAAAAGGTGTCTTACTGGTAAGACATGATAAAAAATCCTGGTGATCTCATCTCCGGACTTTCGGGATTCGCTTCTTTTTGAAGGACCATGGAACGGCCGCGGTCTCACGCTACTTCCATTCGGATTCGTGAAACCTGTCCCAGTTAGCGATGGTGTTTGAGAAAAGGTGTTCATTCCGTGCCAGTGGTATTCATTGAACGCTGTGTCTGTGTCAGTGTTTGTGACGCGACGATAGTAACTGCTCTGTTCGTCTCTGTCATCTCTCAGATCGCCATCAAAATGACCATGCCTTTCACTAATGCAGCGCACTGTATTTTCTGTAAAACCGGCAACCACAAAACGACCATTGGTTACGATCGACATCGCTGGCGACACGTGGTCACATCGCTGGAGTGGCCGCGCCAGCCAATAAATACTACATCTCGAGACTACGGGCGACGCTCGCAGTTCTGCTGGACACGAGCACACGCGTACGGCCTCACACACGCAATAAATAAGCTCACAAAGGTAATTGCACTTACACATAGTACGCACGTAGCGCTTAGAAATATATCACAGTCAGCCAGGGGCGGCGAGATCACAGAGCCTGAGGGGCCTCCCGATGGGCCGCGCGGGCCGGAGGGGCCTCCCGAGGGCCTCGTCCGCGGGCACGCCGCCGGCCGACGCGGGAGGCGGACACGAAGGACGAGCGGCGCACACTAAGATCTATGAGACCAGGTCGGAGACGCGCTAACTCCGGCTAGACAGCAGCTAGCCGAGCAGTGCGCTCCTCGTCAGGCGGCGGTACACAAACACTGTCGGGCCGGCGCGTGTCGCGGGCGGCCGCCCACCGCAGGCGAGACAACTATAACCACCTACCGGCTGACTCGGTCACAAATAAATTAACGACGGCATCCTCCGGGAGCGTCCCCGGCAGTGGTCGGCGCCCGGCCGCAGCGGCGACTCTTTGGTTTAAAGTGGCCTGCAGCGCGGCCGGCCGGCCCGGCTCGGCGCCGCCTGAACTGCTCTCAGGAACTGCTGAAACCAATGAGATGGAATGGAAAAAATGACTGCCTGGAACGACTGACTAGCACCAATGTGGTGAGGCGGCCGGCTGCGGCGGCGCGACTCGTCTGTCCGGCGCGCCGGGCCGTTACGAGCAGCGGCACTCCTCGACCACCACGTTCTCCCAGTAGGTGATGCGCACCTTGCCCTGCGCGTCGTAGTGCGCGATGGGCAGGGCGCTCAGTTTGCTGGGCGCGCAGCAGGGCGCGTGCGCGTGCGGCATGTTTTTGACGCCCTGTTTGTGCTTCTCGTGGATCCAGCCCTGCAGGAGGGCGTGGTCGTTGGCCACGTTATAGGAGGCCGGGCAGCCGCCGCGGCAGTGGTACGCCTGGAACGACGCCGGCGCGATGATCTGCTCGAAGCCGCCCAGCTCCTTGAAGTTGACCTCCATCTTTTGTCGGCAGCACTTTTTGTCGTGGCTGTTGGCGCAGTCGACCGGGCTGCCGCTGCGCACTGCCTCGCTCTGGCCCAGGAAGTCGGCGGTGTCTCTGCGGACTCGTCGCGCGCGGCGCCGGCTCAGCTGCAGGCGCGGCGCGGCGCCCGACAGCCGGCGGCCGCAGCGCCGGCAGCGCAGCTCCACGCGCAGCGCCGACGCCCGCCGCGCCGCATCGGTGACGTTGAAACTGACCCATCCGGCGGCGCGGGGCAGCGGCCGGACGGCCAGCCGGTGCCGCCGGCCGCCGCCGACCGTGTACAGGGCCAGAGAGGCGGGCCGCCGGCGGCGGCGGCCGCTGCGCACCCACAGACGCAGCGCCGCTCCGCCGACGGGCTGCTCGGCCGCCTCCAGCGAGAAGGACGCCCGCAACACCTCCTGCGGCCGCCGCGAGCTCGAGCCGACTCCGCCGCCAGACAGCCAACCTGGAGAGCAAGGGGGACGCGGTCAGTGCGCGGCACACACCGGTCTACAGGCGCTGCACAGAGGGTCACACACCGCACCGCTGCGAGCGAGTGCAACAACGGATCCCGGTCAGCTGCCAATTAAATAACGAATGTATAACCGGTCAGAGCCCATCGCCCTGGTCACGACAGATCGACGCAACGCACGATGATGACACGCTGATGTCATCGCCTGTCTTTGCGGCCCGCGGGCGAGCCGGCGAGATGGTTCACAGAAGATAGCCGACAAGAAACGGGAACCGGAGGTCCTGCTCACAGAATTTACATACATCTAGAAAACATTTATGCGCAGCACGAACTACCTCCGTTCCAAGAACACGATTTGGCGTGTTTGACGCGCTTTCTGCGGCTCCGGCTGTCAGTTTTATTTGCGGCATGTATGACTCAATCGTGCCGCGTAAATGGCACGCCATGTCGTTTCGGAACGCCGGTGCAAACCGCACTGATGAAAGTCGTAAAACAACGCAAAGGATTAAGGAGGTGCACGGCGGTAGGTGGGCCGGGCGCCGCGCGGGCCGCGGGCGGCTCGGGGAACCTGTCGGTGCCGCGGGCCGCCCATAGTCTGACGATTATCGTCTGCTCTGTACGGTAACGGGTGGCGGCTGAGCGAGCTATTGACTGTGAACGGGGTGCGAACCACCCGCTGCACGGACTGCTGGTCGGAGCTGCCTCCACAGGCCAACAGCTCCGTCCGCGAGCGGCGCAGCGCACTCGGCCGGCGCCCTGACTCACTGGCCAATGAAATCATCGCCCGGCCGGCCGGCGGCGGCGGGCGCTCACATGCTGCAGCGAGATTAGTCCGTCACTAAAACTGCACTCACCGGCCATTGTTCTGGAACATTTATCAACGCCGCCGAGAAAAGTGCCGATTGGCGCTCTAAAGCGGACCTTTATCGGCTGAGATGGGGAATTTGTCCGCGATCGGCGCATGCCACATCGAAATGAGGAAAAGCTTCAGAAGAGCGACCCAGCTGTATGGTCCGACAGGAAAACCTTCCATCCCATTTCACTTCCTGCACTGGCCGATGACCGAGTGGCGGTACCGGCCGGCCGGCGGCGGCGCGTCGCCGCTGTTGCGCCACCGCCTGACGTGGCCGTCACCAAACGGGGTGGGGTTGGCCGCCGGACCACCGCCACGGCCGAATCTAAACACAGCCGACGACAAAATTAGCCGGCGCCGCCCATTTCGGCATCACGCGGAATGTCTCGCGCGCGACACAGCGGAAACGGGTGGGCGGCGGCGGCCGGCCGCTGCAGTCCGATGAATGGGCGGCGCGGAATGCTGCTCAGGCCGCCGCCGCCACGCACGGCCGGCCGGCCAGCTGGCAGCTGCGGCCGCAGCTGATGCAGCCGCCGGGAATGCGGCCGGCGCGTCACGGCGGCTCACGGCCCGCCGACGCGCCCACCCCGGACCGTCACCTGTGCCCTCCGAGTCAGTCAGCCAGCCCCCTGAGTCACACAGCGGCGACTCGATGACTCGGCCAGAGTCGCCCGGCGCCGGTAATGGGTGCCGGCTGGCCAAGGCGCCGGGTGGTCGCGTCGTTCGACGCCGGCCCGAGTGACGCCGGTCCGACGGCCGGTTATGGTCATTGGTCCCCGGCGTGATTCAGCCGCCGCTCCGAGTACCGTCCGGCGACGACCGGCAGCGCGGTGCCTCTGCCGCGGCGGAGCGTACGCCGTGGCGGCGCCGCGCGGCGTGCCCGCCGGCAGTATGTGTAACAAGAGGCGAATAAAGTACCTACTGCGGGCGGCCTCAGTGCGGCTATTTGTGGCGCGACCGGCGCGCGGCCCGCGGACCGCCGCGCGGCGTGTCACCGTAAACCGTCCGCCGGCGTCACGGCGCCGCCTGTTTACGTCCGCGGTGCAGGACATTGCGCCGAGCTTGTGGACTGATTGAGTCCGTTACTGACTATTTGTGGACTTTTCGTTAATTTGATTGCGCAGGGGGCAGTCCCGGCACCGCGGGCGGCGGCAGTAAACTCGGCCGGACCAGGCGCACCCGACAGGTGTTTCCCGGACCGCTGCTCGATGGCCGCTCGGACAAATCGTGCGCGCCCGTGCGGGCATGAAGGCCGCGGACAGGGCGCCGGCCCACTGTGCACTGTGGCGATGACGTCACCCTCCCGGCGGCAATATGACGTCACCGAGATCGTCGGATGACGTCACCTGTAGCCGTGTGTGGGGTCCGGCGGCCGCGGACCCGGCGACTCGGCCCCGGCCTGCCCGGAGACGGCGCGCGCGGCACGTGCCGGCTGACCGGCGGCGCTGAGTTGTGCCGCCCGCCCCTGTCCGGTGCCGTCGGGTACGCGGCCGCAGCTGCGCCCCGGCACCGCCCCCTGCCATTGTGGGCCGGCCCGATGGGAACCGGGCCGGTGCGGCCAGCGCAGCGGTGATCGTCTCAATTCACACCGCGAACCGGCGCTATATTTAGCCGGCCAGTGTGGGTGGAATTCCCGGCGGTATTGAGCCGAGAGGCGGCGCGGCGCGCGGCCTCGTGCAGTCGCAACATCCGGCTTGCTGATCAGCCGATCAGCCGATCGGCCGGAAACTGCCACCGGTGCACTATGGTTGGAAACGGCCTCACGGATGGCCGGGGGTCAACGCGAAAAAATGTTTTGCCCATAACTTGTTAATGCGTAGACCGACTGCGATGAAACTTTGCATAGGTATACCAGTGTCTTTCGTGCATCATACAGTAACTCAGAAATGACGAGGTCACGTCACGTCACGCGTGTGTGACGTCATCATTGCAAGTATGTCATAAGTCGCCTATGTCTTTCGTTATGTTATCGATATCGTGAGGCATTTTGAACATGTTTTGAATACTGCTATTACTGAATGGATATTGTTGTTATGCTTTAGGGCGAGAAATATCAACGTAGTGACGCACAGTGTCTTACTATTGGTCATAAAGGGTCACAAATTTGGAGAAAGAGTATTTATGATTTTTTTTTTAGATTAGGCAAAAAAGTAAGAAATAAAATGACGATCAAATGACAAAACATGCGTCAGATTAACCCGGCAGTTGCTGGGGTATTTCCCCATCCGCCGTTTGCCGGGGGGGGGGGGGGGGCGTTCAACGCCCCCAGCCGATAACTCGCGAACAAATAGGCGCAGCGAAACGCACGAGGCGCGGCAAACGAAAGAAGAACGCGACGAGACGATTCACATGAATACTTTAAAGCTGAATTTCGAGGTCACAGGTCGGGTCAAGGTCAGGTCAAACACTTGAAATCGGGCTTTCAGTAGCATGGACTTTAGAACCTCGCAATCGGTGCCTCGCGTTTCGCGTTTCGATTATATCGTCATCAGTTGGTCCTAAATAAATTCAGTCATCAGTTGGTCCTAAACAATCTGTCACAACTGTCACAACTGTCACAACCCTTCATATAAGTGCTAAAAGAGTGTCAGATCAATGTAGGGGTCAGTCAAGCATAGGCCACTGGCCAGGGTCAAAGTCAGGTCAATCAGGTAAGCACATAACCCCGAAAATTAAAACTGGTACCTATCCGCAGCCCATGCATGACACATGTTTTATGGGTACTTTTGGGCGTAGAACACGATGGTGACATTCATTTTATCATACGAGTACGTGGCTGGTTGAAAAAAGATCAATTTCAGAAATGCATGCGTCATGGTCGTGAAGTAGTCACGAGAAATTGCCAACATTCAGTTCAAGATTTTGGAAACTGTAGAACGATGATCAAAAACCATAGATAGCCATTTGATTTGCCATGGTATTGGCAGTGTAATGGAGTTTACAGCATGTCTGTATGTCTGTTCTGTCAGTGGATATCCATATCCATACTCCAGGATATCCATACACGTTTGCACGATATTCATACTCCAGGTGCAGGGGCGAGCAGTTACTTCTTACGAGGGGTGCGGAGTCGAAGTCAGAGTCGGAGTCGGAGTCGGAGTCGGAGTCAGAGTCGCCCAGAGTCGTGGCAACGAGCCAGGAGTCGGAGTCGGAGTCGGGGTCGGTCAGGAGCCCGCAGTGGAAGTCGGAGTCGGTCCGAATCGGAACAGCTCCATCGCGACTCCGAAACACTGGCAGGGGTCCGGAGTCGGAGACAGAGTCGGCCGGAGTCATGGCAACGAGTCAGGAGTCGGAGTCGTAGTCGGAGTCGGATTTGGCGCCACCACGACTCCGCAACCCTGCTTCTTACCATCATTTATAAGGATAAGCGATTGCAAGACTGACGAGCCGACCTGGTGCTAACGAAGCGACGGGTAGGTACGCCTCGGGAGATGACGCTTCACGGACGATTTTGCGCACAAGTGCGCAGTCTGCTTTTACGTTCCCCTTACGCAGAATTGAACAGCGATTTATTCTGCCAAAAAGCTCAATGGAGGTCGATGGAGAACTTTTTGTATGTCCAATGAAACATAAACGCAATTTTGCAAATATTGCTGTGGTGACACTGCAAACAGAATGCAATGCCGTTCCTGATTTTGAACACGCATGGGAAAAAGAGTCACTCCACTCGATAGCCAACATAACAAGGATTATTTTGATATATAATAATCCAGTTTTACAACGTCATGGAGGTACTCCACATGCTATCACCAGCGCGGTTGTTTAAACCTTTGACGGCGCACCAAAAAAGTCACTGTCAGAAACTCCCGATTCCACGTACAATAATGGAGACTAAATGCGCAACTAAATAATTTTTTCTGCCCAATTCAAAACATTTCATCAATTTGCAACAGAATGACACCCCAAATATACATATATTCCGAAATTGCCCACGGCCATCCGTGAGGCCGTTTCCAACCATAGTGCGGTGTGCCGCCGTCACCGGTCGGCGGTCGGCGGTCGGCCGTCACCGGTCACCGGTCGGCGGTCGGCCGTCACCGGTCACCGGTCACCGGTGTGCCGCCGTCACCGGTCACCGGTCGGCGGTCAGCGGTCACCGGTGTGCCGTCACTGGTCGGCGGCCGGTCAGTGAGTCAGCGCCGGCAGTCAGTGCCCGTGTACCGAGCGCCGCCGCCGTGGGCGGTAGCTAATCGGCCGTGAGATGCGTGACGCAGGAATGATGTGAGAGGTATGCCAAACATGCGGTGTGATCGGCGCGCCGTGATTGTCGCACGGTGACGTGCGCTGCCTGCTCGGCGGCGGAACTGTCTCCCATCACGTGCATAGACACGTGTGGCTGTTGACCAGTCCGTGGCCCGGCCCGGCGGGACGAGAGGGTCCTGTCGCCGTGCAGTGGCCCGGCCGCCAACAGCGCCGCCCGCCCGCCCGGTGAAAACCCATCCACCAGGAAACGAGTGGCGACCAGGCGTCAGTTGCATGTGGGCGACAAGGTAAACCGCCGTTCGCGCCCTCACACGATTTTGTTATTATTTTTAGCTGGCCGTTGTCGGCGTGTTTTTATGATTTGTAGGCACGCGAATGTGGCCGATAGGACAAGAGGTGGCGCGATTTTATCTTGGCAGCTGTTCGCACGGCGGTCTGGGCGGCGCTGTGGCGGCCGGCCGCGCCGTCAGCGCTGAGCCCGCGAGCCGACAGCGGAACTGCCGCAGCCGGATGTATTGATTGCCAACAGCACCTCCAGCGAAGGCGCGGCTATTGAAGGTGGTCAGTGCGGACCCGGCGGCCGGCCCGAATTAGACCGGCCGCTTGAATGGCGGTGTCGCTATGTGGACAGTGCACCCCGGGGAGGGGGAGGGGGGTCTCTGAGTGCGGCGGTGGACTCACCTCGCTCCACCGAGGTGGCGGCGATCTCCAGTGGACTGGTGTCCGGCTCCGGGCCGCTCCGCTCGGCCACCAGACGCCGGTACTCCTCCATGACGGCCTCCATCTCCTCCGCTGTCGTGTTCTGAAAAACGAGAAAACCGCCGTCAAACAGCTGCGCAGCGTCAGATGCAGGGCCAACGCTAGGAGAATGCGATGCCTGAATTGAATGCGAGGGGGCACGGGCGGGAGAGCTGCGCGCCCTTCCGTCGCCGGCGCCGCCGGGTGCTGATCGGACTTTCCCAGCGCTCAATGGCGTGTGGCGCGGCGCTGGCTTTGAGAGCGGCCCCGCTACCGGCCGGCCCGGCCAGTTACCGCAGGCAGACGCGGTCTCACGTCATCGCGCGCCGCTAATTGGTGATGCTCGGCCGGCCGCCGGCTGGCGGCAGTTTGGGCGGCGGGCCGGCCCCTCAGTGCGGGGGCGGAGCGGCGCGGCCAGCGGCGGGCGCACCGACACCGGCAGCGCCCGACACGATCAGCCCCGGGTCAAATGTCAGCGCCACCCGACTAGCTGCTCCACCAACAGCCCACCCCAACCATAGTATCGTGGTCGACACGTGCGTGACATGGAAGACATCCGCCCAATTTGACTTTCATCGAAAGTAGCGTAGCACTCGCTATAAGCGGTCCGTTCAAACTTTCCGCCTGCGCTTCTACGTAAGGCTTAAATTTTAACGTCGAAAACGGGGCCGAGTTCAGTGGAGGAGGCGTGACGCGACCTTTCCGACGAACTGACCCGTCGGTGCCGTCGGCGCCGACGGTGGCGGGCCGAAGTCGCGTGCGGTGTCGCGGCCGGATCTGCCGTGACACGGTGTCACTGCGTGCGTGTCGTGACGTCAGCGGCGGGGGCGGGGGCGGGGGCGGCCGGACAGGAAGGATGCCGCCGCCGCCGCCGCTGATTCAGAGCCGCTCCCGGAAGCCACCGACGCGGAGCACGCCGTGTGACACGGAGCGCCCGCGCCCGGTCGGGCTGACCTCCGTCAGGCCGGGGAGCGGGCGCACGCAGCGCGGCCGGCCGGCCGGCTGATGTCAGCGGCGGTAGGTGCGCCGGCGGCGACTCGTGAGGAGCCGACCCCGCCCCGGTCCGGCCTGGCCCGCTCCGGGTGCCGTGCGTGGGCGGACGGCGGGCAAACACGGCTAGCTGCGGCCCCGGGCCCCGGCGGCACACCGGTGCGGAATTCCCTACCTACCGCCGCCCGGCCGACCTGCCGAAACGGCTCCACGCAGCCCCAACGGCCGCCGGCGGAACGCCAATGGTCCGCAGAGCTGGCAGCGGCTACTGCGGCGCCGTTTGAAGTTACTCTCGGTTCAGGCATGCTATGAAGCTCTACTCTAATTAGAGACGAATGTTTCAACGTGCAACGATCTGGGAGACGAATGGGATGACTGAATGGGACAATGACTCGACAAAACGGTTCGCGGCTTCGACAGCTTTTGACAGTTGGCACACTTAACAACTACAAAAGCCGCTCACTTTCTGCTCACTTGTCACGGCGCCGGTCTTTCCATCGTATATTTCGGCTGATTGTTTTGCATGAGATGAGTCGCACTGAAGAAGTGCGGCCAGTTTATTTGTTCTCTCCCAGTGTCTACAGATGACGCTGTGTAATTCATACCAACGGATGACGTTATCTTTATGGCGGCACATCTCTGGCGCGGTGAGCTCGCCACAACGACCGTGACGCCATCGGCGGCTCATACACAGTTCCACCTATTGGCCGCCGTCACTGGTACGTTGCAACAGTTTCTCACTGCTCTCACAGAGCACTAGTAATATGACATGCAACATGAGGATATGCATAGTTAGCCTCCTAATGAACAGGTGTGTCAGAGGGTGAGGGCACGGCAACGGGCCTCATCTTCTGCTGCATGTCGCGCATAATTAAGTGGATGTGTCAGATTCTTTTGGAGATATCTGATAGCCCTATCGGACCTTAAGTGCCGCAATCGATCACAATTTAGTCAGCATTCCCAGCATTCAGCAGCCACTGTCGCCACTCATCAGTCATCCATATGACCCGGTTTTGTTCAGTGATTGGCTCGTCCGCGGCGGCGGGCAGCTACGCACTTGTTCATTGACATCACCGACCGCGGACGGGCACCGCCGCGCCGCGCCCCGCGGTGGATCAGCCCTGAGTCACGGGCGCACCTGGGCGCACCACCAATTATTCCAACCATCCGCGAATTATCTGTCGGAAAATGATAAACGATCTCATTGAGCCGGGCTCGCAGTCACATCCGCCAAAGTTGCCGGTCGGCCGCCTATCTACAAATCGGTGACTGACAGGCACTTAATGCACTTGTCGTGTCGCCGGCATGTTGGTCGTGTTGCAGACATTGCTCAACAAAAGGAGCATGTGTGTACGCCGCCAATTAGTTCATCGAAATCGGCGCTCCGGTCGGCCGGCCAGCTGGCGGTGGCGTGCTCGTGGACACGGGTCGGACAGTCGCCCGCCGCGCCGGTGTCGTGTTCCATCGCTGCGGCACGGCCATCAAAGGCCCGCCCGCGCCGGCCAGGGGCCGCTCGTGCCGCTGGCCGGGTCCGGCTCGGCCCTCCCCAAAGACAGTGGCCACGGGGCCGATCGGCGCGGCGGCCGGGCACTATCAGGTGGGGACATCGGTGGTGACACCCGGGCGGGCCCGACCGTCTCCGTGACCGAGCCCGGTGGGGCGGCGGCCCGCGCTGACGGCACCCCGATAAGCGCTGCGCGACACGGCCAGACTGCGTGGAACCGGCGCGCCGGCGCGCCAGTGTCGTGACACCGGCTTCGGCGCGGCCGGCCCGGAGCGGCGCCCCCACCCAGCCCAGAGCGGCGACTTCAGGAAGAGACTGCGCTGGCCGGACGCCCTCGCAGCACTTTGGAGCCCCGAGGGGCCTTTTACGACCGTGTCGACAGACATATATCGTGGCGAAAGTAGGCGGCCGGCGCTGTGCGCGAGGCACGGCAGACGGACGGTGCGGGGGCGGGACGGCTGACTTTCCGGACCGGCCGCGTACCTGGAAAGTCGGGTCGGTGGCGGCGGGGGTGGGGTGGCACGAGCCGTGAGCACGCCGGGCGGGTCCCGCTCTCCCGGGTCGCCGGCGGCAGCGGCACCTCGGCCGGCTCGGGATTTCCACGGCGGCGGCGGCGGCGGCGGCGGCGCAATCACGAGCGTGTCCGATCGGCGGCCGGCCCCTCCCGCGGCAGATCACACATCCCGGTTGGTGGCGCGCCGCCGGCGACACCGCCGCCGCCGGGCCAGCCGCCGAGCTCGTCCCGCGGCGACTGCAGCGCCGAGCCGGCCGCCGCGCCGCGCAACAGGTGCCCCGGCGGCGGCGGCGGCCGACGGGCCGACGGCGCCCGTCGGTGGCCCGCGACGAGCGGCTTCGTCCCGAGAGAGGCGGCCCTCGGTCCCGGCAGACGGCGCTCCGTCCCGGGAGACGGCCCTCCGTCCCGGCAGACGGCCCTCCGTCCCGGCAGACGGCACTCCGTCCCGGGAGACGGCGCTCCGTCCCGGCAGCCGGGGGCCCGCTGTCGGCGGTGACATTCCGGTGTCCCGGGCACAGGGCCTGACCTCAAGGGTTGCCACGGTCACGGCGCACTGATAGGCCACAGAAGGGTGGCGGAGCGGCGAGATAAGATAGCAGGCAGCGCGGGGGGCACACTTGTAAATTATGTCATACGCTGAATGCCCCTGAGAGCTCGATTAAAGCAGCCCAGTTGGTGCCGAGCCTGTGTTGGTGCCAGCTCTTAGGCTAAATACACACTGACTCGATAAGTCTGTTCTGCGAACTAAATTCACACGCGGCAATCCAGCTTGAGCACCGGCCAACAAATAAGGTCGCCAGTGAGGGAACCTAAATAAGCACACAATCGCATCAGATAGCGACGGAATGTGTAATCCGGTGCATTTTGTCAACAGCCCCGGCCAAGTGTTGATAGCCGGGACCGAGCGCGGAACGCGCCGGCCCTCTGAGCTTCGCGTGCACCTGACTTTTGTGTTTACATGTGCCGCCCGACTGAAGTGGAGAGCGACCTTAACTGTCCTGGTTTACTCGTCAATCGGCCAATTTTCTGAGAACCGCACCGGCTGTGATAGTGCTGACTGATATGTCCATCGTGTCGCACATGTTCGCTGTGTCAGGGCTGGATATCAGGCGCCGCGGATGACGATTAGGCAACCCTCCCACGTCATAGTGTAAATTAATTCATGTACACACAGCTTTGGGTCTAACAAGCGCGACTTAGCGCCCTTGACGACTCAATCTGCCGTGGCGTTACACGGGTGTGCGCTGTCGCGGGACGAACTGGCTCTGGGCCGCGCGGCACTTGTGACACGACACAGGACCCGATACAGGTTCGGGGAACCGGCGATGAGAGTTGTGTCGGCTGAACATAGTGTATATGTTGGCGGCGGTGTGCTGTGTGTGAGGGGCCGACATTGTGTCACCAGGGGCAGCTGAGGTCAGCGGGTGGCTGCGTGGAGGGGACCGGGAGGGGAGCCCTCCCCGGACAGCGCGGCCCCAGTGGCGCACATTTGAGACCGGGGGCCGACCCTGCGCCTGACGGGTCAATGTCCTCTAGAACGCAACTCGACTACCATTCGCTCAATTTTGCTGTGTTGTTAGACATGCGTGTGTTTTAGGACTGGGTGAACACTCGGATACAAGATATTAAGCTCCTCATTTATCTCTGATTACCTTCCTAAAACATTAAATTTGAGCTTGACGGATTGATGCATTTGGTCAATGCTTAGATATGTGCGTGCTATCATTTTATATCTTACAGATATACGCTAACTCAAGTGCGCAAAAAAATGTCTGAGGCCTATTACGAGAGGCAAGATAACAAGCTAGTTTGCACAGATTGCGGAAGTACCGTAAGAATCACAATTGTTTCTCAGGAGACAGCTGTATCGAGTATTATGTCGTTGGTAAGGAAATTTATTCGATAGAATACTTGACCATGACCACGATATCTCGCAAAATTCTTACAATTTCAGAGTAGCAAGGCTGTTAACAACATACATGAACATTGATGGGTGTGAGATTTTGTCGTGTACATAATGTTGCTGAACTTTTCAGGTGAAACTGTAAAGCAATATCACTATTCATTGAAGTCAATGAACATATTACTGCATTGTAGCTTTGGTAACACTTCTGTGTTTGCCCTTTGGATTGGACTTTTCCTTTTTGCCTTTGAAACACTAACACATTTTCGGGAAATATAAGTTGCATTTGAATTATTTTAAAATTACCCACAGGAAAGCTTCTAAATGACTGTGTCATATACCGCATTTTATCGTTGGGATAGCAGAGACGGATTATTCGTTGGGATAGGAGCGGAGCCCCGCTGCACCAGTCCCCGGAGCGTGCACTCACCCTGACCACGGAGTGCGACAGGCCGAGCTCGTCGATGACCCGGCGCCGGATCCTGCTGACCAGCCGCTCCAGCTCGGTGCCCTCGGTGTGTTCGGCGCCCTCCGACAGCTCCTCGCCGCGGCCCGCCGGCAGCGCGTGCACGGCCGCGGCCGCCACCGCCAGCGCGGCCAGCGCGGCCGCCCAGACCCGCCCGGCCCGCGCCATCTCTGCCGACTGTCTGTCCGTCTCCGTGTATCGTCCGTGCACCGGCGCCCGACTGACGGCCACTGATCGCCGCCGCCCGCTCGCTCGCTCGACCTGGCTGCACCTGTGCCACGCGCGCGCGCCGCCAGCCGCCCGATCGGGGAGCCACGCTGTCTTCTACTGGCCCGTCCCCCCGTCGGCGCGCCGCTTAAATAAGAGCGCGCGCCCGGGCGGCGGCGGCGGCGGCGGCCGCGGGCCGCCCGGGATTCCCGGGGCGGGGGCGGCCGCGGGTCACCTGCCGGTCACCGTCGCTACCGTCGCGTCGGTCACGACTCACCCTAGGTCCGGCTCGGCCGCCGCGGCGGCCCTTTCCCGGCTGTGGCAGCGCCCGAGGACACAATTCGGAGGTCGGGGTACCGTGGCGTCAGCAGCCGCGAGGGTCGGCGGTCGGGGTACCGTCAGTGGCTGGGACTCGGGTCGGGTACCGTCATTGACTGGGACTACGGTCGGGTACCGTCAGTGGCTGGGTCTCGGGTCGGGGTATGTCACTGACTGGGACTCAGGTCGGGGTACCGTCAGTGGCTGGGACTCAGGTCGGGGTAGCGTCACTGACTGGGACTCGGGTCGGGGTATGTCAGTGACTGGGACTAAGGTCGGGTACCGTCACTGACTGGGACTCAGTTCGGGTACCGTCACTGACTGGGACTCGGGTCGGGGTACCGTCAGTGGCTGGGACTGGGGTCGGGGACCGTCAGTGGCTGGGACTCAGGTCGGGTACCGTCAGTGGCTGGGACTCAGGTCGGGTACCGTCAGCAGCCGCGAGGGTCGGCGGTCGGGGCTGGGAGTCATCTCCGTGATCCAGAATGATGGCAAAAAGCGATAATGGATGAAAGAGTAGCACATATGCAGAATGCAGATGTTCATTTATGCTGTCTATTTCGTACTTCGAATATGTACACATAGGTATGTATCGCACCACGGCAATGTCCACTCTCTGGTCAGTGAGATGAAAGGTTAGAGATCTTTGTAAGTGAAGGGTTTCATGTGAAAGGCTGGTTGGTGAATATCAGAGGCCCGTGATCTCACCTTAACAAAACTGATAGCGCGTGTGAATTTTGTCATTTAAACCCACAGCAGTCTGACGAATATTTCAGTGTTTTTCCAGGATCCAAGTAATCCCGAAAATCCCCAAAGTTGGGCACGTCTCCTGACTGGGAAATTCAGTTTTCCATCGGTCCCCACCAGTTCACCATTAGAGGTCATTGGGTGTCGGTGTCGGGGCGCCCTCCGCGTGGCCCGCGGACCGATTACGGAGGGCAGCCGTCGGCCGGCGCTCCCGCCAGCCGCCGTGCTTACAATCACCCGCCTCCGCAATTCAAGGGCGCTCGGTTTCAACTGGGCGCCGAGTGCGCACTCCCGGCAAGTGCTGTGACGGAGGCGCGGCCACCACACCACTCGGAGCCCCAGGATATAGAACCGCAGAATACGGAGCGCGATAGGACCACTCGGCCCAAACACCGCTGCCATTACATAAGGTAAACAGATACTGCGGCCTGCTGAAACCGGGTTACGTATATCGCAACAAATCGCACCGCTTTGACGGAATCCCGTAATCTGCATTGAAACCCAGCTGTCAAAATAATTGATCAGCTCATAGACAGCGTCTGTGGAGGTGTCATTTAATTAAATAACGGCGCGGTGACTTCATTGTTGGTATTTTTATACGGACATCTGTTGTAGCGCCGGGACGGCCCGTAATTGGTCGTTAGGCCGTCCTCCCACGCAGACGGGTGGACGCAGTCGGTGGACTGGCGGCATTTCGTCACCGTGGCCTCTCGCCGGTAGCTGGGGGGCCGGCGGGCCGAGGTGCCGGGACGGCGGGCTGAGGTCCCGGGATGGCGGGCCGAGGTGCCGGGCCGGCGGGCCGAGGTGCCGGGACGGCGGCGGGCCGAGGTGCCGGGACGGCGCGGCGGTCCGAGGTGCCGGGCCGAGGTGCCGTGCCGGGGTGCCGGGACGGCGGGTCTGCGGTTCGCTCTGACTCCAGCCAGACCTCGGGCACAGACCAGAACACAGCTGCCGGGTCTGGGAAGACGGACCCGGGCGAACGGAGCCCTCCTACCGCAGCACCTTCTGACGCGCCGGACGGACGAGATAGAGCGCTCGGTAGATGCAGCTTGATTGCTTGAATGCTTGGCTCTTCAAGCGATGCTGGTTAAACTAGCACAAAAAGCGAAATTCAAAAGAAGATAGCCTCTTTTTATGACGATAGCATTCATGTCGAAAGTCATAGCATAGTTTTCAATACTACATTTTTGACTCTCTGAATATCTTAATTTTTTAAGCCTAGAGGTAACTGCTTTTTTGTTTTCAAAATTTCACAGAAGTTAGCACACCAACCATCCAGAGTGTCCCGAAAGTTCGCTGGACATTCTACCAATGCCAAGCCGGTCCTGCAGCTCAGTCGGCAGAGTGTTGGACTGCGCGTGGTGGGAGCACGCGTTCCCCGTTATAACAGTCCGGGTTCGAAGCGCGACGGGCGCTTGACGTTTATGAGCCTCTTGACAGGTATGGTTGCGGTTGGTGGCAGGCCGTAGCCAGGCGAAGTCGGTGAGGGGACCGGCCGTGCGCGGCTATGTGCACACGTTAAACTTTGGATTCCAAAATCTGCCATAGAACAGGTATTGCGCGATCGGAGGGTAGAGTGCAGGGTCAACGCAACAAACTTCGGGACAGCGCCCCCTCAGCGGGGGCGCTGTCCTTGTGAATCCTTCCATTCAGAAGGTACAGACTAAATTTATATATAAAAAATGTTCACGTCATCAAAACTGTGGCTGTCAACTCATTTCCTCTATACTCGCGCACTGATGTGCTTACTACGCACTGCTAACAGTAGACGTAGCCGACTCAGTTGCACTCCCGCGAATGTTTTGCTGCCGTTGACGTAAGCCGCTCTGTTAGCGGCTGCAGTGAATGGAAAGCTCTTTTTTATAGAGCTCATGCCGCATGCTTTCCGGCAGGTTCGTCTCTTCTGGGTGAGATCGGGGAGTTTCCCGGCCACAGCTGCTTCAACAAAACTGGAGCAGGACTAGTCCCCGAGTTCGTGACCTGGTGCCAGTGCCGAGAGCCCCACAGTCCGGGAATGGACAGCCACGTCCGACTGACCCGAACCAGCGACTTCTTTTGCTCATGAGTCATGACAACATGCCACTCTGCCCACCACCTCTGGCGTGGGCAAATGGTGCGCTACACATAGAGTGATTGCGTTGTGCGGGACCGACTTCGGCTAGCTAATACGAGTATAATATAGTTGCTCCTTACTGGATGCCAGGCTTCCCCAGAAATGATTGCAGAAAACAATTAACCTAACTATTTCTACAATTTGCATCTCATCAAGCGCATTGGACGCTTAGTTCTAATAATATCTTGAAACGCCGATGCGTCGGTAACAGTATCGCTGATACAGCATAAATGTTTGTTAAGTTATCGACGAATACTTTTGCGGATAAAACTGCGGTATCTCGCGAACTTTACCGCCAAGAGTCTGTGATGGAATCAGGGTTAATCGGAGCTGGAGGCATTTCCCAGACCCGCCACTGCGTCGTACCTATTTTAGTTTTGCAGATCAATCATCCCCACACACCATGACCGCGATAAATGACACGCTCCGTCGTCGGGTCTGTGCAATCATTACCTGAATGATGTCAGCCGAACCTGAACACCTTGAGCCATCCATAGGCGGGTGACAATGACCAGTCGCCAGCCACATCTGCTCAGAGTGAGGACGATCGTATCGCTCAGTACTTCCGTGTCCCATATTAATTTGCTTATTATCTGGTCTGTGTCCAGTTGGTTAACCGTCGATGTGTCCTCTCCGTCCCGTCCTGTGTCTCCCGTCCCGTCCTGTGTCCTCTCTCTCGCCCTGTGTGTGTCCTCTTGCGTCCTGTGTCTCCCGTGCCGTCCTGTACGTGTCTTCTCTTCCCTCGCCTGTCGGACAGTCTGTCCCGCTGACCCTGTACTCCCTGCGGCGTCGGGCCGGGTCAGCCGCTGCGCCCCGCTGTCCGTCCCGGGTCAGCCGCTGCGCCCCGCAGCTCCGTCCCGGGTCAGCCGCCCCGCTGTCCGTCCCGGGTCACTGGTCAGACGCCGGCCCCGCTGTCCGTCCGGCCGTTCCCCGTCCCGCGGCCCCCGGAGCCGGACGGATTTCCTGGGTGGGTGGCCGTCTCGGAGCACACCGTCTCCGCGAGGTGTCCCCATGTCGGCCGCGGGTCAGTGGGGCTCTGTGCGGGCGCGACTCCACTCCAGACCGCCGTGTGTGACGGTGTGGTCGTTTTAGCGCAATCCACGACATACATACAGGGAAAGTCTATTTTACGAGCGGTTAATGACCCGGCCGGGTACACGGTGATTTTTGAGCGCCCGTCTGCACTTAGGCCACACCTGTTGGTCGCTTGCTGCTAGCCAGGTAGACAATGCACAGTCGCCCCTTGGTCACCTTCAGCGTCTTGGTCCTTTTTGAATGAACCGCCTTTTGAAGACCACTGCTAAATCCTGATACACATGCTAAACACTTCAGAATATAGCTGTTTCAAGTGTAGACGATCACGCTTCCTATTAAAATGTAGGTGTTTTTTAAAACATGGACCCAAAGTGCCATCTAATGGAAACAACACACAGGAATGCCTGGAGATTGCGCCGCGTTTTTTTTTTTTGTGTGTGTCGGCACATGTAAGCTTCTGTGTGCACTGTGCGTTCAGCTAAGTGTTAAAGCCATCATATTTTCGTTTATCCTTCCAACAGGTTTCCATCCTAATTCAAACACACCAGTTTTCTGCGCTGTTGTGATTTTGCTGGTGTGAGTTATTGGTGAATACTATGTACAGAAAATGTCTGTAATGCAACGACTTTACCGTTCAATCAGCAGACGCCAAATTTATCCAACTAGATGACATTGCTGAGGTCAGGGTAGCCACAACCGTCCAGGTGAGCGATTCCATGTAATTATCGGTAGGCCAGTTATAGCCGCGACAGGTGGCGGCACATATCCGGCGGCGCGGCGGTGGGCTGCCGCTCCGTACCTATTGCTGTCGGTCGGACCGCCCACGAGCCGCGAGCCGCGCGCTGCTCCCTGTATAACTATGTATCGGATAAGCCTTACCACATC